AATTTTGTTTGATTTGAATAACGGTAAGGGCTGAGATAAAACCCTACAAGTTATTTAATTGGTCCATATTTAATTGTTGTTTAATTTTTTTTGTTTTTATTGCATGCCCCATTTATTTTATTTATTTCATTACTCTCTCTATAGTTAATTAAGAATTTTAACATTTGGACTAGGAAATAACTTAAATGGATTTGCTCACTCTTGTTAGTTGTTACTGCTATAAACTTAGCAATTGCCCATCTATTTCTTCCTTATTTCATCTACTGGGTTGACAAATAGAAGTGTGGAGGGTGAACACTATGTTTCTTGAGCTGTGAATAGAAACGATGAGTCTTTTTTTGGGACGGGGGAGTATAATATTACTAAACACTCACATATGCACTTAAGAAAATGCCTTGACAATGGCCCCAATAACCTAGGAATCATTTTGACTTATATGCAGTTCAAGGCCCCTCTTATAAAATATTTAGTATGGTTCTGTAAGTCACTAAGTTAGGAAACTTTTTAACTTATATGCAACAGACTATCCCTCTTATGGTTAATTCCTTAACTAATGCACTTCTTTTGAGTGCTAGACTGTCCTATGGCTTGCTTACGTGATTTTCTCTGGATCTACACACTTTATTTGATGTCAAACCTGTGACAAAGGCCTACGGCCTATGAACTTGATTTATGGCAAACTTCTTTAAATCCTTTAACGTGCTGAGAATCATAGCTACCTGGTTGGTTGTTCATCTCAGGGCAAATGATATTCTCTGCATTCATTGCATTTCTTAGTGTGATCCTCTAGCCTCATTCTAGGGAAGCAGCTTAGAAAAAGAGTTTGTTGGATGCTGATATGTTTGATTTTAGGGACACAAGATGTGTATAAACTTCTCTTCATGCAATATGTTCGTTTACACTTAAATGTAGGTGTTTCTGCTTTGCCCGCCTCTTTTTCACTAGGACACCCACACATGTACTGTGTTAGAACATAAATTCACAGCTATCTGTGTTAGAACATAAAAGCAAAGTTTGAAATTTTCAATCACAAAGAGGAAAACCAAAGAAAAAAGAAGCTTATAAAATGAATCTAAGTCCCAATAGGAATCAGGTTCAAGAAGAACAAACAAATTGAAAAGGAGACAGAACAGAATCATTCAATTAAAGAAACAAAATAAAGCAAAATCATTATATTCAATTAAAGAATAGATTTTTATGAAGGCAACCCACAGATTCATGAAAGGTAAAGAACAATAGGCACAAGGTGAGGTAATATCAAAACGTACATTAGAAATCATACTCCCATTGAGTTTTTAGAAAATGCCGCCCCACTGTTGCACTACATCAGTTTATTCCCACTTCAGCTTTTAATTCATTTTTCTCCCTCACCTTGCTCATCCTGCGCGGTTTTCCTCTTCGATTTCCAGGTATTTCGCATAATCTCCCTCATTCTTCATAACGTGTGCAATCTTCTATTCTTTACTTCCAATTTCAGATTCTTCAAATTTATAGATTTTGGAAGAATTGGAGGAAACCAATAAAAATTGGACAAAAGTGTAGTAGATAGCTGATAGCCCTAGTATCAACCAGAGAAGGATGGTTGGCTCCTTCGTGCCTAGAATAGAAGTAAGCCAAAAAAGAAATTAAGGGGAAGGAAGAAAGAAGAGGGAAACGGCTGGAATATGAACAGAAAAGAGGTTTCAGAAGAGGAATAGATAAAAGGGGGAAAGAGGATGTATTATTCTTCTCTGGCAAAACCGTTGTACAACCTCACTTAAATAGATCCCCAAACCCTAAGTTGCTACGTGGCCTATCCTGTCGTTTCAAGAAAAAGCATCGAGGTAAAGAACCGAAAAGAAACCCTCGAAGGAGCGTAAAAGCTCACCTAATAAAATCTATGTTACATTGATTAATAATAATAAATAAATAATAATCCTTAATCTGCATAATCCTTCCGCCAGTGCGGCGGTCTCCTAATTCTCGTACTACGCCACACCTCCCCCATGCATGAGCGATCACCCACGTCTTCGATGTCCTCAGGAGCCCTGCTCGTAACACTCTCCCCCGGTTCAACATGCACCTCGTCCTCGAGGTGAAGATGAGGAAAGTGCTTCCGAAGGGTGTCCAATGGTTCCCATGAAGCGTCATCCAAACCACCATCCGACCACTGCACTAAACCCTGCTCTACAGGTTTCCCATCTTGCAGAACTGTCCGCCGACCATGCAAACGTACCGGCTTGGAAATAGGGTCCCCATGCACAAATGTCTCAGGAAGAGGCATGGCCGTAACTCCCTCCGCATTGTCCCGAAAAGGTTTCAACAAGGACACATGGAAAACCGGATGAATACGCGCCCCCACTGGAAGTTTGAGACGATAGGCTGCCGCCCCAACTTTGGCAAGTACTTCGAAGGGGCCATAATATCGCCGGGCCAACTTTTGGGACCGTCGTGTCGCGACTGAATGTTGCCGGTACGGCTGCAATTTCAAAAGGACCAAGTCGCCCACGTCGAATGAGAGCTCACGACGGTGCTTATCGGCGGCAGCACGCATTCGCTGTTGGACGAGAGCCAACCGTTGGTGCAACCGGTCGAGCATCTCTGTACGTTCCACCAGGAGCTGATCCACCGCTGGTAACTGGCAATCCCCAGGTGCATAAGGCAGGAAGGACGGAGGCTCACGTCCATACAACGCCTGAAATGGCGTCATCCCCAATCCACTATGAAAACTCGTGTTTAACGCATACTCGGCCCAGGAAAGCAGCACCGTCCATCGTGCCGGTGTATCATGTGTGAACGCCCGCAGGTACTGCTCCACCCCGCGATTCATGACCTCGGTTTGACCGTCGGTTTGAGGATGAAAAGCAGTGCTGAGACGTAGGGTAGTGCCACATAATTTCAACAGATGCTTCCAAAATTTACTAACAAATATGCGGTCACGATCAGAGACAATCGTCTTCGGGAAGCCGTGTAACTTAACCATCATGTCAATAAACAAAAAAGCAACCCGGTGAGCATCAAAATCTGTAGGCAAGGCGCCAAGGTGTATGTATTTGGATAAACGATCGACGACCACCAATATGACAGTGAAACCGCGGGATGGAGGCAACCCGACAATAAAATCCATAGAGATGTGGTCCCACACCTGCGTGGGAATAGGAAGAGGTTGTAAGAACCCCGCTGGAGGCAACGTCGAGTACTTCGTCGTCTGGCATACAAAACAGCGACTCACATAATCTTTAATATCGCGACGCATGGACGACCAATAAAAAACCATAGCCAAATGTTGAAAGGTTCGATGAATGCCCGAGTGTCCCGCCATTGGGGTGTCGTGATATTCTCGGATGAGGACAGTACGCAGCTCCGAATTAACCCCAATGTAAATGCGCCGGCGAAAATAGAGAATGTCGTCAGCCACTGCATAGTCACTGTTCAAAGTGCCCTGGCGAAACTTTTCATGCAAAGTGAGCAAATCTGGTTGGTTCAAATTTTCAGCCCGAATGGTGTTGAGCAGCTCCGGAACTGGCTGAGACAGTAACACCAGCGAATGGCCCAAAAGCGGCGGTTCATCCCGCCTTGACAGCGCATCTGGCACCTTATTAGACGGCCCAGTTTTATACTCGATTTGGAAATGAAACCCCAACAATTTCCGAATATAAAACTGCTGATTGGGAGTTTGAATCACTTGTTGCCATAAATCCTTTAAACTACGTTGATCTGTACGTACGATGAACATGCGTCCTAACAAATATTGACGCCACTTTTGGATGGCTTCGACAATGGCGTATAACTCCCGATGATAGGCAGAGGCCATGGCACGGCGTGGACCCAGCTTCTTACTAAAAAATGCAATTGGTTGCTCCTGTTGAAGCAAGACGGCACCGACACCAGTAGAACTAGCATCGGTCTCCACCACGAACACCATAGCAAAGTCTGGTAACCGAAAGACAGGTGCCGCTGACATGCTATGTTTGAGGGCAACAAAGGCCGCCTCCGCTTCTGGATTCCATGTAAAGGCATCTTTTTTTAAAAGGTCGGTCAGCGGCGCAGCAATGTGGGAATAATGACGGATGAAACGTCGGTAGTACCCCGTTAGGCCTAAAAATCCCCTTAATTGCTTGAGGGACTTAGGCGTGGGCCAATTAACCATCGCTTCGATTTTAGCAGCATCGGCGATAAGACTACCCCTGGTGATCACATGCCTCAAATAGTGGACGGAGGATTGACAAAAAGAGCACTTCGATTGCTTGACGAAGAAGTGATGGCGCTCTAAAAGGGTGAGTACCATCCCCAAATGCTCAACGTGTTGGGCGGTTGATTGACTATAAACCAAGATATCATCAAAGAATACAATCACGAACCGGCGTAAGTAAGGTCTTAACAACCGATTCATGCATGCTTGAAACGTCGAGGGCGCATTAGTAAGGCCGAACGGCATCACTAAAAACTCGTAGTGGCCTTCATGAGTTCTAAAGGCTGTTTTATAGATGTCCCTATCGTGCATCCGGATTTGGTGATAACCGGCGCGTAAGTCCAGTTTAGTAAAACAACGTGCCTGACCGAGTTCGTCAAACAATTCATCCGCCGTCGGAATGGGGAAATGGTCGGGCACGGTGACTGTATTGAGTGCCCTGTAGTCGACACAAAAGCGGTAAGTACCGTCTTTTTTCTTTACCAGTAAAACCGGAGAGGAGAATGGGCTGCGGCTAAGACGAACAAGGCCCTGGTCCAACATCTCACGCACTAACCGCTCCATTTCATCCTTTTGAAAATGAGGATATCTGTAGGGACGCACATTAACCGGAGGCGTGCCTGGCTGGAGGAAAATGCGATGGTCCACATCACGCCGTGGAGGGAGACCAGTGGGATCCTGGAACACAGCCGCATGCTTGAAGAGTAACTGCTGAATTGGCATGGGCAGGTCTGGAGGAGGAGAATCAGTGGGCGGGGCTGCCGCTGTATGCACATACAAAATTTCGACGTAGTCGCGGGCTTCTCCAAGACTGTGAATGGCTTGCAAGACCTGGAGGGATACGGCTTTTGGTCCTTGCAGCAACCCCCGCAAAATCACCGGCCGGCCTTCCCATTCGAACTCCATCGTCAATTTGGAGTAGTCATGTGCCACTTTCCCCAATAGTTGAAGCCACTGAACCCCCAAAACGGCATCCGGCCCGTGAATTTGAAGAACGAACAAATCAACTGGGAAGACGGTGCCTTGCAATTCCAACTTGACTTGTGGACATTGGGTATCACATAAGAGGTAATCCCCATTGCCTACATATACCCGGAAGGGTGGCACCTGCGTCACTGCCAATTGCAACTTAGAAACCACACGTGGATGTATTAAATTGTGGGTGCTACCCCCGTCAATCAAAACCTGCAATTCCTGCGTCCCGACGGCGCCCAACAGGTGGAGAGAACGCGGAGTAGCGGTCCCGGTTAAACTCTGTAGGCTCGAGATGTCTGCCGCTACCCAAGGATCCGCGGCCGTAGTTATGTTGTCATTCTCATTGTCCACTGGTGCATCATCATCATCACCAATAAAGAGTAAGACACGACCACAACGATGCCCTTTGGACCAACGTTGATCACAGTTGTAGCATAACCCCTTCGCGTCTTTTTCCAATTTCTCCGCGCGCGTGAGGCGACGGATGGGTGTTGCCAGCACTGCCTTATCCGTAGTGGCATCACCTGGAGCCGGCACCGGAGGACGTGACAAGGGAGACCGAGAAGTGGCCCCAGACGCCCAAGTTCCTTGGCGCTGGGGTATGGCATGTATCAAAGCATTGTGTTTGGCCTCTAACTCCCTAGCCAATGCGAAAGAGTCAGATAGGGTTTGTGGCGCCAAAAGAGTAAGCTCATGTTGTAGATACGGCCGGAGTCCCGAGTGAAAAATGGAGATGAGATTAGCTTCAGAGGCTCCAGTCGCGTGTTGCAAAATTTTCTCAAACTCAGTTTGATAATCCATGACAGACCCCGTTTGCCGTAGCTTAGCCAATTGTGCAAAGTAATCAACATAATGCAAGGGATCAAAGCGGAGTTTAAATTTCTCAACAAAATCATCCCATCCGGAAATCAACTTACCGGACTGACGCCACCGAAACCAATCTGCCGCCGGTCCTTCTAACATTAATGCGACACACCATAAGCGGTCGGCGGGGGGCGTATCATAAAAGGCAAAGTACTCGTTCACCTTGTATAACCAGCGTAAGGGCTCTGAGCCGTCGGTCTTGGGTGCCTCCAGTTTTGGTTTTGGCAGACCCGGATGACCCGAATAGTCATGTCCTCCATGATTCGAAGAGCTGGCGAACGGTGTTTTGCCGGGCGGAGTAGGGAGCAGTGGTCGATTCGCCAGGACCAAGGCTTCCAACCGCGCAAACATTGCTTCGAGATCCTGTTGCATTTGATGCATGGTCTGTTGAAGAACTTCAACGCGTTCATCGTGCGGCTCGCGATCACCGGATATCGCCTCACCGGACATAATGAAAGCACCAATTGATAGCCCTAGTATCAACCAGAGAAGGATGGTTGGCTCCTTCGTGCCTAGAATAGAAGTAAGCCAAAGAAGAAATTAAGGGGAAGGAAGAAAGAAGAGGGAAACGGCTGGAATATGAACAGAAAAGAGGTTTCAGAAGAGGAATAGATAAAAGGAGGAAAGAGGATGTATTATTCTTCTCTGGCAAAACCGTTGTACAACCTCACTTAAATAGATCCCCAAACCCTAAGTTGCTACGTGGCCTATCCTGTCGGTTCAAGAAAAAGCATCGAGGTAAAGAACCGAAAAGAAACCCTCGAAGGAGCGTAAAAGCTCACCTAATAAAATCTATGTTACATTGATTAATAATAATAAATAAATAATAATCCTTAATCTGCATAATCCTTCCGCCAGTGCGGCGGTCTCCTAATTCTCGTACTACGCCGCACCTCCCCCATGCATGAGCGATCACCCACTTCTTCGACGTCCTCAGGAGCCCTGCTCAAAACAATAGCATAGACGAAACCCAATTTCAGTTCCTAACACAGGAAACCCAAAATAACTAATGTTATACACATTTTTGAAGAATCTGAGGAAACCCAATTTCAGTTTCTATCAAATTGCATTCAACGATTCTATATCACTGTAATAAATTCTTCAAATTTATTACCAGGAAACTCAATCAAAATTAATTCACTTCCAGAAGTTCAAAGGTTTTATAATTCAGTCCATTTCAAAATTCGCCCAAATTTTAATACACTTATTGAATTTTTAAGAGTTAAAGTATTCAAATTTTTTTGACTTCAAATTCACATCTATCCACGTTAGAAAATTTGGGGATCCACTGAAACTGCAGCCAGTTGTGTATTTTTGATGATTTC